CAGCTCACAGTACATCAGGGGAAATAGATGTGATTGGAGAGTACAGAACTGTGGAGCACAAAGGGGGACCTCTTAAGCCAATTTAGAGGTGCAGGGAAGACTTGCTAGGAGAGGTCACTTACTTGAAGGATCAGGAATGGGTTATGAGGTAGCAAAGGTCAGTGTTAGTCCAGAGTAGGCCTTCCTCTGTCAGAGTAAGAGGATGGTAGTCAAGAATGGTTCCTTCCCTACAGGAGGTGGGGTTTTTGCTGGACATCAGAGGAGGAATCTCATTAGCCAGACAGAAGGAGGGGAAGGTTGTTGCCAGCAGCAGGATTGTAGTCAAATGAAGGATGAATTGGTGGACTGGAGCAGGAGGGTGGGGTCCTAGTGTTAACAGACCAACTGAGAAGTACTAAGGTCCTAGCTCAAGCAGTAGAATGCCAGGGAAATGTAAAAGATGCTTGCAATCCCAGGGAATGACGCTTTTGTCCTCTGCTCCCTTTTCTTTTTTTACAGGAGGAATCTGAATGAGCTAGATCAGATCCAGCAGTACTTCAGTCAGAAGCTCACCAAGCCTTTACTTCCCCTCAGTGCTCAGACTCATACCATCTTGCAGTGTCCAGAGAGCCACAGGGACCATCGTGGGCCCGGAGACAGCAGCCTAGACCCAGAGAGCCAGTGCATCCTGGAGAAATCCAATAACCTGGTGTTGCAAGTCAGCTCCTTAATCACGGGTATGGCTCAGGGCCCCTCTTGTCGAGGAGTTATGCTCACTGGGTGCCTATTCAAAAAGCATTTGAATATCTGCCCTCATAAAAGCCCCTATGACAAATAGAGACCAACAGCTTTCACTATCTTACTTATTTACTGTCTTCCTTCTGGAAGGAGAGATGTAGTAGCATGGCACAGGAACATGTGAAATGGAAAGACTATCGGACTGAGAGGCAGGAGACCCAAGTCAGGTCTTTGTTGGCTTTCTGGCACAGGCTTACTATATGACACCACTTACCCTGACCCCTTTCCCTTCTTGAGGTTTCCCCAGCCAAAAAAAAAAAAGACAAGAGTGGATTAGGTAAGTTCTTCCAGTAGCAGTTCTTGAGCTTGTGCCACTCTGTTTTCAGGAAAAAATCAACTACAGACGTATTTAAAATTGTAATTCTCAGAAGGCAGAAGTCTGCATTTTTAGCAGGTACCTCAGATGACTCTAGATGTTGGTGGTCCATAGTTGACCCTTTGAAAAATCCCTTAAAGCAGTGGTCCTCACTTTGGCTGCATATTGGAGTTCTTAAGAGAACTTTTCATATTCAGATGCCCAGGCTGCACCATAGGTTAGTTGCAACAGGATCTCTGAAGGTGGGACCCAGGCATCAGTGTTTTTCATAACTCCCCAGGTAATTCCACTGTGCAGCCCAGACAGAGACTGCTGTAGAACAAGTATTTCTCAAACTTGGCCTGAACATATAAAAATCACCTAAAGAATCACCTGGGTCTTGCTCCATTCTCTTGAATCAGAAGGCAGGGTTAAGACCTGGGAACTTAAATAGCAGGCACGGTAGGGGAATAGTGAGAAAACAATTAGATCAGTACCTCTAGCCATCACTTTGGTGTCATTTTTGTTCAAACAAAAGATGTATATTGTACACAGGGATGAGTAAGTTCAGTTTTCTTTGTTTAAAGGGGAAAGAAGCCACCATGAGTGATATTAGGTACAAACCTCCTTCTTACCCTCTTTCCCAGAGAGCTGACCTGTTGGTAGCCAGGGCTCCAGAGGTACATGCTGTATTTGGCTTCTACTTGCTTGGAAATATTCAGTCATCTATTTACTGAGCACAAACTATGCCAGGCACTATGTGTTACTAGGTCTAGGAGGATAAAGTGGTGGACAAGACAGGAATTGTCTTTCATCAAGCGTACATTCTATAGTCAACTGAAGAAACTGCCCCCCAGAAAGAAAGCATTAAGAGCAAAACAGAGGGAGGCTTGTTTGGGGTAGAGGTGAAAGCAAATCGGGAACCCTCTAAATGGGTATATTAAAAGAGGAGAGAGAATGAGAGAGATGATTGGATCGAAGAAAACTGTTCAAATAAATGAACTCCCCCAGCCTCCATCACTTCTCAGTACACTTTTGAAGAAGTCATTAGACAAGCAGATACAAATGAAGCCTGAGAGTGAGTTACTGAGTAGGGATCTCATTTATGCCACATCTGTGGGCCAGGTCTTTTGCTGGGCTCTAAAAATGCAACATGAATCAGACACATGGTTTCTGCCTTTGAGAAGCCCACAATCTGATGGGGGAAACATACACAGTAGGATCTTAAGTGCTTCCTTATAGAACAACATTGTTTAGCCATCCCATCCAGCTGGCGCACCCGGGAAGGCTTCCTGGAGGGGGTGCAGTAGGGCAGGGCCTTGAAGGACGGGCTGGTTTGTAAAAAGAAAGACTGCTCCAAGACAGAAAGCATAGTTCAGGCCAAGGGATCAGGATTAACTAACCCGCTTCCTGGTTCCTCTTCTGTTTGCAGGTAGGGATGTTCCGTTCTCATACATCTATTCCCCTTTGAGATACGAAAATTGTTAATGTATTAAATTCAGCCAGCATCTCCTATAGGCTGAAGATGCCATTAGGTACCATGAGGGAGATGTGACCCCACACTCCAGGAGTCAAATTTGCCTCCCAGTTCCTAACTTTCTCTTCTTAAATAACCATGCAGACAAACCATTTACTAGGCCTATTTATTTATGCCCCCCATTTAATTGCAAAATAATTTGAAATGACTGGTAGCTTCCATTTATTGCCATTATCCACACCACATATGCCCATTTATCACATGTATTCTTTACCATAACCCTGTGCAAAGGGTGGTGTTAATCACTTTTTTAAATATTTATTTATTTATTTATTTTTATTATGTTCAATTAGCCAGTATATAGTATATCATTAGTTTTTGATGTAGTGTTCAAAGATTCACTAGTTGCATATAACACCCAGTGCTCATCACCACATGCCCTTCTTAATGCCCATTACCCAGTTACCCCATCCCCCACCCCCCTGTTAATCACATTTTAAAGATAAACAGGTTCAGAGAGGATAGTTTGCTCATGACCACAAAGTTGATAAGTGACAGTAGAGATTTGAACCCAAGACTGACCAGCCCCCAAAGCCTCTGCTCTTTCCACACACCATGCTGCCTCCATTTTCTCTGTAAACCTCCCCTGCCTTACCATTTGGGTGATAGATGACTTGCTTTTATTTTCCAAGTAAAATATATAGTTCTAATAACTGTCATCAAATAGGTAAATAAGTAGATTCTCATTTTGATTTTTAATATAGGTAATTACTGAAGTAAATGGAAGCATGAACATGCCCGCCAGGACTCCTAGCTCCCAAGAATTCCTGAGCATGAGCAGATAGTCTCTGAAAGCGATGTAACCACAACTATAAACAGATTAGATTTTGGTCCTCTGATGTTAGAATAAAGTGCTAGAAATTATATACTGCCTTGAATATAGTTTCACTGATTCGAGTGGATTAACCATCTTTAAGATTTGTTCAAAGTCTCATTGCAAGAATACATCTGAAGCTAGAGCCTAGCATGGGAAAATTGAGTGGTCTGTGGCCCTATCTTGTAGTAAGAGTGATATCTGTTGCTGTTCAGATCTGCAGACTATCACCAAGAATTCTCAAGCATCTTTGGGTTCTCACCGAGCCAGGAGTAGAAGCGGAGAGGTTCCCACCCTACCAGATGCTCAGGACACAGTGGCCATGCAGGAACGAAGCACAACTCCAGACCTGCCATTGGCAAGAGCTCCGGATGAGGTCAGAAACCACCTAACTCCCCCTACTCTTGAAGAGACTTCAAGCGGAAGAGGAATGCTCCGTGAGTCCCTGGGGCACACAGTACCCATTACAAGGATGCAGAGCAGTGAGGAAACTGAGGCAGGCCCAGCCTACAGTGATGAGGACTATGAAGAAGACATCATTGAGCCCAGGACACTCAATGACATTACCACCGTGACAGACAAAACTAGCCCTTGGTCCAGTTTCATGTCAGACGCAAGTGAGATCATCAGCCTTCAGCCTGATGAGGTGCCTAGGGAAGGCCCTTCTTGTCCTTCTTCAAAGCGTTTCCCCAGAGAGGAGCTCAAGGGTAAAAGTAGCCCTCTGTCCAGCCCAGGGAGGGTGGTCCACCCCGACCTGCTTAGGCAGGGTTCTCCTAGCCAAAGTCTTACTGCTTGTGAGGGTGAAGCCTCTCATGCCAGGGATGGAGAGCCTGCTTCAGCAGACCGTCAATTCATCTCACAAGTGACACTCTCAGGAGCCCAACAGAGCAACACCTCTGCTGGATTGAGCTCACCAAGAGCAGACCAGGACCAGGAGCCCAAGCCAGAGGCCCAGACTGAGCATGAGGCTGCCTCCAGTGAACTAAGTGATTCTGCTGATAGCTTCGAGAAATTCCCTCTTCACCTAGCCTCCCAGAGCAGGAAGGAAAGCCATCAGGCGCTACCCATCAGCTGCCCTGACATCAGGCAGAAGCAGGCAACATCTGGATCAGAGGTGTCCCCAAGGCAGAGCCTCCTGTATCCTTTGGGATTTCCAACAAGTAGCCCCCCTTGAGCCATTTGTAGGCATTTTGGATGCTGGCACTTAGGCTAGCCTAGTGTGTGTGTGCGTGTGTGTGTGTGTGTGTGAGAGCAGTGGCCTCCCTCATGTAATGCACTGGGAGGTACAGGAAGCCCCTTCCTTCAGAAGACGCCGGGGCTAATAAGGTGCTATGATGCGACTGTTAGCACCGCCCTCTGAAGCATAATGCTTTGAATTGGGTTTAAGGGTTAGTAGCACATTCATTAGCCTAGCCCAGCCTGATTTACTGGATCAATCTATTGGGGATTTTACACTTGAAGGCAGGGTTCTGGATGTAAGGAATGAGACCATTAATCTCAGGTGAAATCGAAGTGAAGGGTGCAGAGGGGAAAGGAGAGTACCAGCACTGATTGAGCATTTACTGTGTGCTGGGCACTTCACATACCTTTTTCATTCAGTCGTCGTAAGTCTAGAAGGTCAGTATCATCATTTCTATTTTGCATGTAGGGAAACTGAGGCTCCACGTTATGGTAACTTGCCTAATTAATTTTTTTTAGAAAAAGGCAAATGATAGGGAAAAGGAGAGAGTAAGTGGGTGCAGTTGAAATGGACTTGCCCAACTCCCCCTCCCCCTCCAGAATGGCAGTGTTAATGGGAGGAAGGGACACCTAACATTCCCCCTGTTCCTGCTTTGAAACACAGATGGACATGTTATGGGAAAAAGAAACCACTCAGGACCTTCGGCAGCCCAGCAGCAAGCAGAGGTTACTGCGCAGCTGCTGAGGAAGGAGGCTGTTTTACTGAAGAGATCTTTCTGTACCAGAAGCCAGGGGGCCTGTTTTTGACCCTTCTAGACCCAGCTTCTTGTTACTTGTGTGACGTCAGACTTACAATTTAACTTTTCTGAGCCTCAGTTTCTTCACCTGTAAGATGGAGACAGTAATCCCTTACCCACCGGACTGTACCCTCCCCACGTAGGTCAGGGACCTGCCTTTTTCTGTGTCCCTGGCACCAGACATAACAGAGGGGGATCAGTAAATATAGATTGACTTGAACTATCATAATTTCACAGGATTCTTGAGAAAATCAAATCAAATTGATTCTTGAGGAAATTAAAAGACTACACAAATGTGATTCATGTTGCAGAGCAGAGAGAAACTAAAGGGTAGGCGGTGGGGACTCAGGAAAGACGGAAACCATGAAATGGCTGAGGGTGAGCACTGAAAGCAGGCCGCCTTCAGTGGAGTTCCTTCCTGGCCTCACTCATCCTGGCTTCTGACGTTGCTGCCTTTACAGTCAGTTTAGTTGTGCTCAGAACGTATGGTCTGTGCTGGAGCAGTCTGTACCCAGGTCCCAAGGGCACTACTTTAATTCGGACCTTCCAAGTATTCATCCTTCCAAAAAATGGGTATTTCCAGACTATGTGCTGCTACTGAAGACAGATTTGAATTAGACCTTACCTCAGAAGTTCCCATTAAGAGGCAGGGACAGGCAATGGTACAATTTCTTGTTCCAAGTGCTGTGATGAAACATGGACAGGATGCTAAGGAACAAAAGGAAGAAGCTGCTGTGATACTGTTTGGAGGCATCCCAGCAAGAGAGACAGTAGAGCTGGACCTCAAAGATGAATAGGCATTCTGTAGGCAGAGATGAGAGAAAGTTCTAGTCACAGCGAACTGTGTGTGCAGAGGCATAGCCAGGTGAAAGAGCCTGGCCTGTGGGCAGCAGTTCACTCTGATTAGAGCCCAGGGGTATGTGGGATGGTGAGAGGTGAGGCAGGGCTGCCTATGAAAGAGCCTTTTATGCCTGGCTAAGGTGCTTGGACTCTATCCTATAAGCGAATTAAACTTCAGTGTCCTTCTCTTTAAAACAGAAGTAATAATAGTACTTCTCTTGTGGGGTTATTGTGAAAAGTCAATTAACAGTTTAAACTACCTAGCAAAGTGCCTGGTACATAGTGTTCAGGAAATGTTAACTGGTAAGCAAGCAAGAGTGTGACTGGTCAGGTTTACATATTGGAAAAGTCATGCAGTGCCTTGTAGAGGGTGGATTATGGATTAGATGAAGGGAAGGCCAGAAGCAAGGAGACAAGGTGGGAAACTTGCAATAATAATAAAAGATGAAGAAATGTGACCTAAAGCATAGACTGCTTTATGATGAAGAAGAGGGGCACAGATTTGAGAGAATTAGATAGGGGCAGGGAAGAGAAAAAAGAAAGTAGAAAGGATGACACAGAGAGTTCTGTCACAAGTGATTACACAAGTGATAAGGTGACTGGATAGGGGACAGCACATGAAGACAGTTTTGGGGGAAGGTACACATTTCCGTTTTGACATGTGTGCCTGGAAGACATCCAAGAGGAGGCCAGCTATAAAGGTAGGTGCCTCTGGAAACAGATACGGGCAGCAGGGAGAGCGTGGAAAGGGAGAAGCACACACACAAAATGGAGCCCTGAGGCTCACCAGTACGGAAAGCGCAGAACAAGACACGCCCGCAGACGAGGCCGAGAAGAGCTGGTCAGAGGTGGAAAAGCAGGACGGAGGCAGGGCAGGAGCAGAGTGTCAGGGAGTAGCGGTCCGTGCTCTGACGCTTAAGACAGGCCCAGTAGGGTGTGGACTGACGGTGGCTTTAGCGTTGAGGAGGACGGTGCAGGGGTGGGGACTGAAGGCTGACTCCAGTGGGGGAGGGAACCAGAGTGGTAAGGACAGCAAGAATAGGCAACTTTTCCCCATTAACCAGGGAAGTAAGAATCGCTGACATTTAATGAGCACTTGATGTGTCAGGCACTATTCTAAGTACTTGTGTATATAAAGTCATGTAATCCTTAAAAGGTACTATTACTATATCCACTCTACAGGTGAAGAAATAGGTGTAAAAAATGAATTTGCCTGAAGTCACTGTCTAAAAAGTGACAGAGGTGACCGTAGCAGGACCCTCAGAAAGGCAGGAGGCAGTAGGCTGAGAGGGGGAGCTTTGGTGCTCCGGACGTACCCGTGACACGTCTTAGCAAAGCTTTTCCTTCCCCACAGCATCAGCTAACTGGCACAGTCCCCGGTAGTCAGAGCGGCAACAGCAGCTAGGGCCTGCCTCACTCAGGCCTCTGACGAAGGCTTGGGTAAAAGGGTTCTCCTTCAGGATCTCCCCAACTCCACCCCCACCTCTCTATGGAAGAATCAGGGACTTCAGCCAAAGCAGGAAATGATGCCTTTCATTCATTCAGTGGATACTTACTGAACGCTTACTCTATCCCAGGTGACAGGAATATGACTATGAAAAAGGGATCGATCATCTCTACCCTCTTGGAGTTCAAAGTCTAGCCTAGAAGAACCATGATAAACCAATTTGAACCAGAACCATATTTAGCTTACTGAACAGAAACAAAAAATTAGAACATCAAAATAGTCCCCTCCCAAACAAAAACAGTGCTTTGAGTGAACAAATGTTTTTGGAACACTGTGTTCTCGGCACAGTACCGGGTACATCAGAGGACACAGAGACGTACAAAATGTGGTAGTTGCTTCTAGGGCTCAGATGCAGACTGCGTGGACGAGCCGTACCCACAGACAGCCCCTTATGTAGAGTCCTCATTCCTAGATGTTGGCAGAGAACAACTGGGAGGACACTGCCCTTGGAGCCACCTTCCCACCCCGACCCTGTCTGACTGACTTCTCACAGGTCAGTTTTGGGTCAGCAGGCCCTCAGCAAGTGTCGCTGAAATGTTGCTGCCTACCAGCCTCGTGCAGGGTTCTAGGGAAGTAGGTAACTGAAGGAAACTACACCGCCCGTACCTTTGAGAAGCTTCTGGAAGGAATGCTGAGACAAATCGAGAGTCATAGCAGAGTAAAACAAGCATTAGCCTGTGTAGCGGACTGCGGGGAAGGAGGGATCACCATGGGCTGACATTAGGAGAGGCTTCCAAGAAGAGGATTTTAACTAACCCTTGCAGAAAGTATAGACTGTGATTGGTTAGGGGTGGGCAGGGTCTTCCAGGCAGAAGGCACCACTGGAGCAGAGGTGTCATGGGCAAGAAGTTGGGGGAAATGAGTGGGGGTGACTAAGCCCAGGGGAGAAGCCAGTCTGGCAAGGGGGCAGATTTCTAGGTAACTGTGTCCCTTAACTACCATCTAGGCCAGAGCCCATTGTGGTGCCCAACTTCTTTTTGCCTCCCCAGCAGTTGGAGGCCTCCCTGCGGATGCTGTCATTCTCTGCAGCTTTGCCACCACCAGCCACAACAGACCAGGTAAGAACAGCCTGCTGACCTCCCTCCCCTAGAGTCCTCATCTCTTCCATGGAAGCATGTGCAGAATGCGGAGCTGCCCTGGGCCAGCTTCCTGACGAGGCAGCAGCACTGGTCACTCTCCAAGCTTGTGCTGAGCACATTCTGGAGGCCCAGCAGCATACAAGGGGTGAGCTAGGCACAAAATGAGGAAGAATAAATGTGTTAAGAGCAGGGCATCATCAGCCAAGATCTAGATATGTGGAAGAAACAGTGCAGAAACATTAAAAACAGGACTCGGCCAAGAAATGAATACTGAGTGCTGTGGGAGCTCCACTAAGCCAAGGTGGACATGAGCAGAGGAAGCTTCAAACAGGAGATGCAGCCTCAGCACACCGGTGGTGAGAGATGAGTAAGGTCTGGAGGAAGAGAACAGTATCAGAACTATACCCATTTGTTGTCTACAGAACACCTTGTAACTGTTCATCCTTCAGCTGACCTAGCTGCTTACAGATCCCATCTCTCCTCTCTTCCACCTTGGCACAGCACCAGACCTTTCTTTCAGGTAGCAAGAAATAATAATAACTACTTTTGTAATCATTCGGCATATATTTCTAGAGTGCCTACCCTGTGTCAGGCATTGTGCTAGGTTCTGAGCATACAGTAGTAAATAAGATTCCCTGTCTTCGTGGAGCACAAAGAGTAAACAAAAAAAATATTTACAGACGGTGATGAGTAGTAGGTGTTTTGTTTTGTTTTTTAAGATTTTATTTAGTTATTTGACAGTGAAAGAGGGAACACAAGCAGGGGAAGTGGGAGAGGGAGAAGCAGGTCTCCTGCTGAGCAAGGGGAGCCCGACGCAGGGCTCGATCCCAGGACACTGGGATCATGACCTGAGCCGAAGGCAGACACCTAACGGCTGAGCCACCCAGGCGCCCGAGTAGTAGGTGTTCTGATAAAGAACAGGGTCCCTCTGAGGAGGCAGTGTTTAAGCTGAAAGATGGTGGTCATGGTGGTGCTTGCAGGGCACTGTTCAAAGCACCTTGTATTAACGCTTTACATTCAGCAACCTAATGAGGTACATATTTTATCCCTATTTTAAGAGGAAGAAACTGAGGCACAAAGTGGTGAAATATCTTGCCTCAAGCAGGTGTTAAGTGATAGAGCCAAAATAGGAATCTAAGCAGTCTGTTTTCAAAGTCTGTGTTCTAACTCCTATACTGCGAAGGAGCCAGCCATGTAAGAACTTGGAGATGAGTATTCCAGGCAGAGAGAACAGCAAATGCAAAGGCCCTGAGGCTGAAAGAGTTTGGCATGATCTAGGAACTGACACAGAGCCAGTGGCACTGGAACATAGGCTGGAGGGCCCAGAGCACACAGGACACAGAACCATGAAAAACAGTTTAGATTTTATTCTAAATGCAAGGATATCCTTTGAAGTGTGTTAAGAAGGGGAATGAGATCTGTTTTATTTTTTTAAAAGATTTTATTTATTTGTTTGAGAGAGAGAATGAGAGAGAGCACGAGAGGAAAGAGGGTCAGAGGGAGAAGCAGACTCCCTGCTGAGCAGGGAGCCTGATGCAGGACTCGATCCCGGGACTCCAGGATCATGACCTGAGCTGAAGGCAGTCGCTTAACCAACTGAGCCACCCAGGCGCCCGAGATCTGTTTTAAATTTTAAAGCATTCACCCAGGGTGCTAAATAGAGAATGGGCTGTCAGATTTTGCAGCATGAAGGTCATAGGTGATCTTGAAAGAGTAATTGCAGTAATGTGGAGAAAAGAACTGTAATAGTGTCCATGTGCCAGGCACTTATTCTAGATCCTAGGGGAGAACTAGGCACAGAGCCCCAGCCTCATGGAACTTCTAAAAAAACAAAATAATTTCAGAGAATAATACATGCTGTGAACAAAATATATTTGTTTACTAATTGTAACAGCTAACTCGTATTTAATGCTTATATGCACCAGACATTAAGTACTTTGATGTGTAAACTCATTCTCCCAACGGGAGAATTCTCCCATGGGATATCGTTATCCCCATTTCATAGAAAGGAAAACTGAAGCTCAGAGTTTTGTTTTGTTTTTTTTTAAGATTTATTTTTTATTTTTTTATTTGAGAGAGAAATCAGAGAGAGCACAAGCCATGGGAGGGGCAGAGGGAGAAGCAGGCTCCCCACTGAGCCCGGGAATCATGACCAGAGCTGAAGGCAGACGCTTAACCAACTGAACCACCCAGGCATCTCTCAGTTTTCCATACAGACCACCTAGATATTATTATTTCTATTTTATATAGAAACTGAGACACACAATGGTTAAGTCACTTGCCCAGCATCTCCCAGTGAGTGACTTAAAACACAGGACTTCAAATCTATGCTTTCCATTACACCACTTTAAAATCAGAACCCTGGACTATTTTTCTAACCATTGTGCAATTAACACTTAAACATTTTTTTAGGCTTTTCCAGAGCCTACTTTGATGGCCAATAGGGTCAGTCCAGAAGCATCTTGAGAGCCTGGGGGGTATAGTCCTAAAGAGAAGCCATCACATATACTAGCTTTCCTTCCCCCTCTCTCCCTCAACTTCCCTAGCACCGTTTTCAGGACATCGCATTTATTTGGCAGATGGATCAATCTAAGTTCTCACACATCTCATTTTTTATCAGATTTGTAAATCCTTTCCTGGAGGAGGAAAGATGCCAGCCCCCACCCAGGAGCTCTGCATTTTTGTGGCCTTTATTCCTACTCTGGTTTGTGCTCTCCAGCTCATCTCCTTCCTCTTGCATGTCCCATATATCCCCATCAGCATTTATGCTAGAGTCACCGGCCTGTTTCCAGGTACCAGGCACAAGCTTTTGAGCGAGACATCCATGAGGTGAAATACTGAATCCGCTACTAAGTAATTAAGGGATCTTGAACAGTGACTTGACCTTTCGGTGTTTCTGTTTCCTTTTAAGTAACATCAGGCTAAAATAATTCTTACCTAATAGAATGAGACAAGAATTACTCTAGAGGAAAAAAGTAGACACTGTTAGCTCCCTTTCCCTCTTCCCCTCCCAGCAAAGTGGGTGAGATGTCAGTGAGTCACACCCCGCAGGAAGGGAGTCTGTGAGCCACTCTAGCTGTCACCTCACCTATCATGCAGAACGGCTGTTCCTGCTTTTGTGTTTCTGCCTTCAGGAGGTACCAGCGCCCAGGGGACTTTACTGTCTTTGATCTGTTAAGCATAAGACACAAGTGTGGGAGAGGGAGAAATAAGAATTTTCACTTCAATTAAAGGGCAAGTCTAGTTTTGAGAAGATAAGTTTCATATACTTTTCAGCTATTTTTCTTTTCTTAGTCACAGCAAAACTCCATTATTTGTTTGCTGTTCTCAGGGCCACCTCTGTCCCCAGGACCTCATTCTGAGTCCTACTTAGGGTAACTAATCATCACAGTTCACCCAAAACTGTCCCATTTCAGCATTGAAAGTCCCAGGACCCAGGAAACCAAGGTTGGTCGTCCTCACTAGCAATGACCCCTCTCACTACTTGATGCATTCAGAGCAGTGTATTTTCTGAGGCTTGTGCTCTGGCTAGCTGCTACCCAGTGCTAGATAACCTAGGAATCAAATCAAGTGTGTGTTTAAGACACTAGCAAGAAGAGGCAACAAAAGTTGAGAAAAAAAAAAATTAAGAATTACATTTATTTTTAAAGCATTGAAATAGTTACCAGGGGTTAAGTCAGAATTTTGATTAACTTCATTAAATTTATGGCTTATTTTTAGATCTAATTGTGAATTATACTTAGGCAGGAGCACTGTAATCTCAGTTTTGGTCTCGGAAGGTCTTAAAAGTGGCCTCACTTTGAAGAATTTAAGACAAAAACCAGACGTTTGTATTTAGCCACATACTTACTGTTGCTGATGTTCTTCATTCCTTCTTCACATCCTGATTTCTGGCCAGGATCATTTCCCTTCAGCACGAAGAACTTCCTTTAGAATTTCATGTATTGCAGACCTGGCAACAGCTTCAGTTGTCTGAAAATATCTTTATTTTGCCTTCATTTTTCAAGGATATTTTTTCACTGGATATAGAATTCCAACTTGAATTTTGTTTGTTTTAGCATTTTAGAGCTATCATTCCACACTCTGACTTACATTGTTTCTGATGAGAAGCAGCCATCATTCTTACTGTTGCCCCCAATGTAATGTGACCTTTATTTTCTGTCTACTTTTAAGATTTTCTCTCTTTTTCAACAGTTTGACTACAGTGTTCATAGTTGTGGAGGCAGGGGTAGGAGAGGGGAGGAAGAGCACACAGGTCTATTCAACAATGTTAGCAGTGTTGTAGTTCTTAGGTTTGATTGTGTTGACCTTAAAAAACAAAAGAACAGGTTATTTTACCAGCTAAATGAGTTTATTCTGGAACAGCAGAGGAATTGCAATTTTGGGACGAGCAAACTATGGCAAAACAGGCAAGTCTGCAGAACAGAGGAGAGGGGCTTACTTTTTTAGGGGGAAGGGAGGAAGCTGGGAGGGACTTTTCTGCTGAGTTCTCCTTGGCTAGGTTGTTGCTGGGCAAGGAGGAATTCTTCCTTTTTCCCCGGGGTACGGAAATAAAGTAAGCTTCTTCCTGTTGAAGAATGCTAGGTCTGCTCCTTACCACCCCTGGTAGTGTGTGAGAGCTCCCCCTTCAGGGCTTCTTGACTCCATTTTAAATGAGGTTTCCTTTATTTTCACAGTTGGATTGGGTTGTGGATTCATAGATGTTCATTTTTATTATGCTTTATAATTTTCACATGTCACATAGTTTCTTTGGTATGTAGCACAGTGAAATCACAAAATTGTGTGTAATTAAAATTTTAAGAGTGATTGAATAGTGCCAAAATGGAGATACCAACTCCTTCTATAAATCTGGCTGTGACTATGGAGCAGGGAGATCGGATAGTGGCTGGAGCAGTGTGTGAGATAAAGGGAAGGTTTTTTGGTTTGGTTTCGGTTTTGTTTAATATGGGAATGGCTACAGCTTTCTTTATGTGAATGCAATGGTCCCATAGAGAAAAGGAGAATGGGAAGATGAAAGAGAGGGAGAGAGAAGAGAAAGGATGGTCCTTGAGTCAGGGAGGGCATGGGATGCAGAGTACATGTGGAGGCAGCCTTTTGAGAGGAAAAAGAAAACTCACCGTGAAGCATGAAGGAAGATGGAGAAGATCGAGAAGATGGGTGCTAAAGCAAGTAGGATTAGAAATTTGGTGGTAGTGTTTCCCATTTGATAGAAGCTCCTATTTTCTCTCTTTTTTTTTTAAGATTTTATTTATGTAGGGGCACCTGGGTGGCTCAGTCATTAAGCGTCTGCCTTCGGCTCGGGTCATGGTCCTGGCGTCCTGGGATCAAGCCCCGCATCAGGCACCCTGCTCGGCAGGAAGCCTGCTTCTCCCTCTCTCTCTGCCTGCCTCTCTGCCTGCTTGTGCTCTCTCTCTCTGTCAAAAAAATAAATAAGATCTTTTTTTAAAAAAAGATTTTAGGGGCACCTGGGTGGCTCAGTCGTTAAGCGTCTGCCCTCAGCTCAGGTCATGATCCTGGGGTCCTGGGATCGAGCTCCATGTCGGGCTCCCTGCTCTGTGGGGACCCTGCTTCTCCCTCTCCCACTCCCCCTGCTTGTGTTCCTTCTCTCGCTGTGTCTCTGTCAAATAAATGGGTAAAATCTTAAAAAAAAAAAAAAAGATTTTATTTGGGGTTTTTTTTAAGATTTTATTTATTTGACAGACAGCAAAGAGAGGGAACACAAGCAGGGAGAGTGGGAGAGGGAGAAGCAGGCTCCCTGCCGAGCAAGGAGCCCGATGTGGGGCTCGATCCCAGGACCCCGGGATCATGACCCAAGCCGAAGGCAGATGCTTAACCGACTGCGCCACCCAGGCATCTGTGTATTTTCTCTTCTTGTCTTCTATTTTCTGTAATGTCTCAAAAGTGAGAGTTAGGGACAGGAGGGCAGGAGCCCTGTCCTGTACCCTCATTTGAGAATGTCATCTGTTCCGCCTCCTCCTAAGGCCAGCCTTGGCCCTGAAGGTTGAAGGGGAGCATTTTGAGAGGCTGCTGGGCTCTTCTCAACCAGTGTCCTAGGACTGCTGTGCTGTAGCTAACCTGCTTCAGGGCCAGGCAAGGAGAGACTTTGTAAGCCCTGGCTTAGCTGTTCTGGCCTCACCACAAGATCTAAGGAAAGGCCTAATCCTTCACTCCACGTTGAAATGATGCCCCAGAGCCCAGGAACCTCTCAGATAGTCTTGCCTTCCGGCTTTAGTGAAACAGGGTTTTTTTCCACCCCTTCCCCAACAGTATAGTGGATACGGGTCTCTGTGTGACATTAGCCAAGTCTTCTGATCTTGCCAAGTCTGTTTCCTCGTTTGTCAGATGGGGTTATCAGGCCGCACAGGGAGGTTGTAGCAGACCAGGTGCCACACAGATAGGGCACAGAGGCCAGCCCTTCGCTCTCCTACCCGTGACTGCCTCATCTTCGGTTGCCGCCGCTCTCAGAAGGAGAGGAGGAGGGGCGGCCGGTGTAGCCGGACTGCTGCATAGCCAGCCAGCGGCCGTTTCATGGTACTTGGGAATCAGTCAGGTTCTCCCACCTCTGCTTTCTCCTCCCTCCCATGATCAAGTACCTCTTCACTGGGACAGCTTCCTGGTTTTATTGAAGATTACATCTGATTCTGTTTGCTTAGCTGCTTATGGGCAAACTAGTTTTATCAACTTCCCTAAAGGGGAGGAAGGAGGTAGAAGATGAGACAGCAGTATTTTACATGTTGTTTTCCTGGGTTTCTGTGCTCTGCTCTTGTAGATGTTTCTTTGGGTAAATCTCAACCACTCCAAGTACTTCAGTTATTATTTACAGTTTGACGTCTGTCAAATCCTTATCTTCAATCGAGACTTCTCTCCCATGCTGCAGACACACACGGATCCAGCTGCATCCTGGCCGTCTTTTCCTTGATGTGTTACAAACAGTTCACTGTGTGTCCAAAACTTGAGCTTGTCACCTTCCTCTGCACAGGCCCTCTGCCCCCTGCAGCCCTGATCTCTGTACACTCAACCGTCACGGTGTGGTTACCTCTGCCAGAAGCGTAGGCATCATCTTTCCCCCTCTTGCTCCTTTACCCCCCATGCCCTGGAGCTCATCTGCTACCACGGTCCGCCAGCTCTGCCCACTAAACGTCTTTTGCATCCACTCACTCCTCACCCGCCTGTTAGCTAGTCTTCGTCATCTCCCTCGTGACTCCTTCTAACTCGTCTCACTCATGTCCACACCTCCGCACCACTGGAAGGGAGAGGGGCTCTTCGGCGTTGCCAAAAAAACAACAACAAAAACTTTTTTTAATTTAAAAACCCGTATTCCTAAGCCACCTATCAAATCTGAGTGCTCAATTTTTTGACCTCTCAGCAGTATGTGACATAGTTGATCTCTCTCCTTTAAGCACTTTCTTCACTTGTTTGTTTGGTTTTTTTTTAAGATTTTATTTACTTATTTGACAGAGAGACAGAGCGAGAGAGGGAACACAAGCAGGGGGAGTGGGAGAGGGAGAAGCAGGCTTCCCGTGGAGCAGGAAGCCCGATGTGGGGCTCGATCCCAGGACCCTGGGATCATGACCTGAGCCGAAGGCAGACGCTTAACGACTGAGCCACCCAGGCGCCCCTCTTCACCTGTTTGTAAGGCATCAGTTCCTCTTGGTTCTCCGCCTCCCTCATCACTGCTCCTACTCAGCCACCTTTACTGGTTCTTCCTTATTTCTCCTACTTGTTAACATAGGAGTAACCCAGCATAGTCTTTAGACTTCTCCATTTACATTTGTTTTCTAGATGACGCAATTTGATCTCAGAGCTTTAAATCCCTTCTACATGCTGATGACTGCTAACGGTTATCTTAGCTCAGACTTTTGTAAACTCTAGGCTCATATGTCCAGCTGCCTACCCAACAGCTCCACTTGGATATCTAACAGATACCTAAAATTAACACTCCAGATTTTATTCCTCAGAGCTGTTCCTCAGTCTTCCCCATCTCCATTAACAGACACTCTCTCCTTCTAATTCTGTGGTTTAGACCAAAACCCTTAGAATCGCCCCCCTATACCTCTGTTTCCAATCCACCAAGAAATTCTGGCAGCTTTGTCTTTAAAACAGATCCAAATCTAACTGTTTATCACCACTCCAACCATTACCACCGTGGTCTAAACCACCATCACTTCTTGCCTAGATTATTGCAGAAATCTCCTCGCTTGCCTCTCTGCTTCTGCCCTTGCCCCTGGCAGCCCATTTCCCATACAGCATCTGTTAACCTCATAAGATGTTGAGTAAATCATGTGACTTCCTGCTTGGAACCCTCCAGTAACTTCTCACTGATGACTAGGAGAGCCAGAACTGGGCCTGAACACATGTAAGCCAGAGCATGGGAAGGTAATTTGGGCCTCAAACTTGAAATATACATCTTCTGGCAAATTAAAAAGTCATAGTCCTGAGCTAAGTGCAGAGAAGACAGAGGAAGGCCCCTTCCCTCAGGAGCTCACAGTTCCCCAGGGGGAGGGCTTTATTTCTCAGTCCACCAACTTCTATCAAGTACCTGTCATGCTTAAAGGGCTGGACCCGGTACTACAGACTGTGCCTTCAGGGAGCTCACAGTTCCTAGGGGTACTGGCCTCCAAGCCACTCACTAGCTCTCTCAAGTGATATCAGCCTATAGTAACACTTACGGAAAACAAAACAAAAAGAATGAATTTAGGGAAAAGAAGACAGAGCCACAACAGTGGCTTGAGTACAATTCACAGATGAAGGAAAGGCTTTGTAAGCTGTGGATCTGGAGAAAAGAAACCTGTCAGGGAATCAGAATCTGGCAACTCAGAGGTACAAGTGGTGTACACTAGAAAGGAGGTTAGAGGTTGGGGCAGGGGGGTGTTGAACTGGACCAGAGCAGGCGGGGTAAGAGAGGAGTCAGAAGCAAAGAGCAAAAGCAACCTGTCATCTGGAGGAGCTTTGGCCTCCCTGCCGACCTACATGGCAGTTCTTTACCTTGAGATGGGCTTTGTCTTGTTCTGTGCCCTCCTGCCAAGGTCAGGCTCTATACACAGCAGGAACAAGTCCCCGGACTAACCACAGGCATGGGGCCAGGTGCTGCTATTCCTGAGGAGTGACTAAATAAATATTTTTAAGAGAGAGAAAGAGAACTATATGAATGTTAGCTATTGTTATTTTCATCATCATTACTGTTGAGATGTCTTCCCTCTTATGTTGCTCCATTTTGGGGGGAACTGGTAGGATGAAATGCTAAGGGATAGGGGCGTGATCAAAAGCTTAGCACCAGGAACTGGGAGCTGGGAGGTTAGGCCGCACAG